ACAAAACAAATATCATACGCACTTTCTTCAATTTCAATTTCGTTTCCGCTCACGGATGTACAATGGGGATATACCAGATAAATTTTGCATTAAATCTGTTGAAATAATGAGTCAAGATTTCCAGAAAATCACCAAACATAATTACTTAGAGCCAAAACTGGCTTTTTAATTCAACCATGTGAATATGCATATATACTACACTGAAATCGTTCCTACAAATCGTGTCATTATGACCAACCTGGAACACCAACGAAACACTAACAATACTGATTCTCAAGCAGCATCATCACCAGAAGAAGGATCCAAACATTTCGTTTCTAAAAATGCAACCGAATAAAGCTAAGAAATTGAAAGAAAACTAAAGAACAGAATAAAGCAAAGCATTCAAAGGTCTTCATGCAAAAGCAGTACCAAAAACCATCTCGCAAGTTATCCTGGCTGCTAATTACTAACGTTCAAATTTAAAGCCAAAAATTTTTGTCAGTGACTACCAGCTAGGTTAACTTGACAAAAGTAAAAAGTGATGTACAGTGGTCTGAAAATGTGTTGTGAGTCTGCCAGAGGTGCAAAACTATATGTGTAACTTCAAAATATTTCTGAAATGCTTTACTGCAAAGATCCAAAAAAAAGTTTTTATGAAACATAACAAACTAGGTCATCCATCAAAAACATTAATGATGAACATAGTGTCAAGAGCAAAGCTAGGACCAAAAACAATTTGTTCATTGGCCGCAGCAAAGTAAAATACAAAAGTTTTTGTGAGTTGATCATTAAACCCCTGTCATAATATATCCTTGCTTCTTGAAGCGATCCCATTGGGAAAAGAAGGCTTGAAGCAGAGATCTGCTCAAAACAAAAACGGTCAAACAATCTTTCGGTAAAGACAAAATCAAAGTGAGATTACAGAACTAAGTTAATAAATGTAAAACAGAAAAAATTGCTTATTTATATTAGTATAAGTTAAGTAGAAAGTAGTTAGCTTTTAAACTCTTCTAGACGCAACACTGTGGGGGAAAGAAGAAAAATTAACGATTAAATATGAAAGACTAGATACTAGTTGTCTAGGAAGAAAACGAGGAAAACCTGTGCAATAAGGCAATAGCAGGTACGAGAACAATAACTAGAAGTGGAATAATGACCTACGAATCAGGTGAGATTTAAGCGCAACTAGAAAAGATAAACTTAGAAATAACCAAAAGAAAACCATTAATTTTTGATTCTTTGACATGTGCTAGGTAGAAACAGCGGTAATGTTTGAAACAATTGCACTCCACTTCAAATCCTCAAAACCTCCGAAATGTCTGCGATGCGTAAAAAACTAGAAGCAAAATGACAACAATTGGAATGTAAAAAATTTAAGGGACTTACAAAAAACCACCCACCCTCCTGAATTTAAGATTACCCTACACTAATACTAAAGAGTGTAAAAAACAAGTGAAAGAGTATCGAAGATCAAAGGTTGTAAAAATTGTTATATAAGTTTGAGAACCATTTCGGTTAAAATAAAAGACACAAGATGTTCGAACATCGTAGAAGACCTAAACAGCACTTAAAAAAAGGTTGTTATAAAGGAAATTTTACTTGTTCGCCGTTGCCTTCGGTTGCACTGACTGAAATACAGAACTTGATGACATGAGATTCTGTATATACTGTCCCAATACCTGATTTTCAGAACGCAGTTTTAAGCTTTCTTCCTTTACGCTATCAACACGTGCACTAAGGTCTGAAAAGTGTTCCACCACAGTCAAAACTAGCCTGAACTACCAAAAATAAAAAGAACAATCTTCCCAAAGCGATCTCCATGACTCAACAAATTTCAACCAAAAAATAAAAATAAAATAAAGTAAAACAAGAAAATAAAAAAAAGATCAAAGACAATTTCGAACCATCAAGTGTGTTCTGTAGTTCAAGAATCTGAGCAATAAGACGAGCTTTCTCTTCCTGATCCTCAGCAGTTTCTTCCTTAGGCAATGGCTGAGCCGGCTTTGGGATCCGGCCACCGGTATCCAAAGAACTACCTGCTTCGTCTGAAATTTTTACCAATGTTCATAATGTTTCGTAACAAATAACTAAGAAGAAAAACTTAAATTTTGCTTTGAAAAAAAGAAACCTTCATCCGCTAACGGGAATCGATCAGTTTCTGGAGTTGATGCCATAATAAAGAATTATAGTAAAAGCTGAATTCTAATCTGCAACTTATCGCCTTTTTACAAATACACAAGCAGATACAGTCCCAACAGTCGGAAGTAACACACTGTCCGCTAAAAGAAAAAACTTTCAGATCTCATTTTGCATGAATAACACCGTAAATAGTTTCAAAATATACTAACACGTACAATGGATTCTTAAATCATTTGAAATGACCAAAAAAGTTTTATCTAAAAATAAGAACTTAATCAACAGTTGCCTAATCTATAAAAGATTCCAAAAGCACAGGGCAAGAACTGGAATTATGGGTAAAAACCCTTACAGAATCAAATTAACGATAATGCTGCAATACAAAAAATGAGGGAAAGAGTGGAAGTATGACTGTCTGGAAACTAAAAAAGGAATGCAATGCAGATATGACGCAAAAGAAATTTTTCGTTGCTGGAACACGGCCAACATATCTGAAGACCACAGAAAATCCAATAATATCAACATTCTGCGCAAAACCAACACCAAAGCAAAAACATATCAAACGAATCCTCCCGCGTGCCTAAATCAATCCATCCTTATTCTGTCGTCGCAAAGCATAGAAAACAAGAAGTTGCATAAATTAGCTAAGATGAGGGATCCGCTAGCAAAAGAAAGAAAAGAAAAAGAACATGGTCCGCTTTTCACAACAATATTGCACACCTCTTTCCTATTTAGTCTTAATAAACAGTAGTAAGAATTATAATGCTAAAAGCGGTCAAAACGAAGTGTGTTCTTATATATATATATATATA